ATACTCCATTAAATTATATTATGACAAATGAAGCTCTTCTACAGAAAATGTTGGACAAAGGTTCCTTTGAAATCTTAAAAAAAAAAAAAAAGATGCGGGGGCTCTAAAAGCTAATTTAAATAAATATAAAAGTTCTGAAAAATAATATCTGTAGCAAAATATTTTAAGGTTAATTTTCCCACCAAAGTTGGAAAAGCTACGTGCACAAAAGTACCAAATGTATTTCAATTGAAGTACTGAATTCTTTACCAGCCAGAACACAAACACTTGTTTTACCTCAATAACTTTGTTTGCTTGAGAGACGAGTTGTCATCCTGTCACCAGTCGGAACGTAACGTGAACTTCTCAAGTTGTATGCTTTCACGAGTGTAGGTGTTTTCTTTTTGTAAGTGTAAGTTTTATCATCAAGTTCATTTCTTCCCACAGTGCTGGAAGAACGCAGTGCCAATTGCTTCTGAGAGGGTCCCGCAATAGCTCTGAACCGTTCTTGGAAATGAGCTGGGGGAACCGAGGAATTCAAAAGCATTTTACCTGGTTCCCTCCCCTTCTTTAGTCTAATACCATCAGGTATTTTCTTCTTGGGATTCACTGCAAAAAAAGTGGCCCTACTCTGATATCTATGACGCAAGAAAACAGAGTATTTCAAAGTATACTTTCTGATGATAGCATTTGCTTTAGTCTGAATCCAAATTGACTGCTTTTCAGAAGTTATTCTGGTGTTTTGCTGGCGAATAACTGCTTTAAAAATGCTTTGGGGGAAACGTGGTTTAATACTAGTTGTCGCCTTCCTTATTGAAACTTTTTTTTTACTTTTACTTTCAAAACACTTATTTTTAACTGATTGTGGAGAGACTTTGGCATCATTACGATTTGAAGGAGTCGGCTGGAAATCACTATCCTTGGGAGCCTCACCAGTGATCACATTGTCTATACTTTCTAAAAATACGCAAGATTCATTGCTCCCACAACGTGACCGTAATTTGTATCTTGCCGTTGTTATGAAAGATTTTGGAGCAATGTTTTGTGTAGGAGCACAGCTCCTTGCTCCACTGGAGTTTCCATCACTCTCATTATGATGAACATCGACACTCTCACTTGTGTCAGAGCCTGCTACGACTGGGTTCTGCGGAGGATTAATTACAGTTTTCTTAGGCAATGGCTCATTAAGATTATTCTGTTTACCTTTGCCCATAAACTGCAACTGACTATCACAACTGCCCTGCTTCCTTTTAGATGAGCGGGAGGATCTGCCTTCCTTCCGTTTCGCATCTGCGGAAGAAACACAGACTGGGGTACTGGGCTGTCCGGGCTCCAAAACTTCAGCACTTGTTGTGGGAACTTCAACTGTCACAACTTGAGCTTGTTTCTTCCCTTTTCTGTCATTCTGTACACACTTCCTTTTGGGTGATCCTTCTTGTCCGGTTATTTTTCTCTTCTTTAATGAGTACTTATTGGTTTGAGTTGCATGGTTTACTTTTGATGCCTGGCTCTGAGAAGCCAAATGCCAATTCTGTTTAAGCAGCTCCACTGCTAGAGGACAGTGACAGCATGTCTTTTCTAAGATGACTGAAATGTCACTGGTATCTGCAGATCCACCTGCAACATGGTCACTATCTGGAAGAGTCTGAACGGATACAATATTCTGGTTAGAGTCAGGCCAGGTAGGCTCTGTTTCTTCATTCAGTGAAGCTTTCCTGGTTGTACAGTTATTGTGACAGTAACAATGAACATGGTCTTTCTTAAATTTCTTCACAAGGCAGTTAGTTTTGGTGTTATCACCTATCATTTTTTGAGGCTGTGTTTCTCCTGAAACTGAAGGAGACGCAAGAGGCAAGGTTTCAAGGACTGGTTCATCAGAATCTTCTACGACTTCTGGTTCTTCGTCCAGGTTCTTTACAGAATCAACCACAGAAACAGAGTTTGAAGGAAAATAATGGTATTCTCTTAGGTCAAAAGTTACCCTCTTCCGTGGGCGTGTTTTCTTAACTTCCAGAGGCTGCTGTGCATCAGCCTGAATTGAGGGATCACACTGAAAATCTATCTGAGAACCATAAGATGTACCACTCTTGCATGCTAGGTCTGCATGTTTCAGCTTCAAAAGGTTTTCTCTATCAGCTGTGTGATGGATCACGGACTTAGAAGAGGCAGCACTGTCCATTGCAGAACCACTAGAGTCCCAGCTGTTATCATTAAGTCTGGTATATTCTGGATCTTTCCAAAGACTGACTTCAGCATCAGTTTTCTGAGAAGTGCCTTCAAAATAAAAATTTCCTTCAGGACCATCAGATTCATAGCTCTTATCTTCTGAGTAGAAACTTTCTTGACCAGGCCCTTGTGACTGGTGAGTCACAGACTGACCAGAGGCATCAACGTTAAAATCTACTTCACAACTACAAGATTGACAAGTGGAGTCTCCCAGAATAATATAGTCATTATTCCGGTTTATTATTTTGAAAGTCTTTTTGAATTGGTTTGTCTCTGATTGAGAAGAGGCTTCATATCTTAACTCAGAACCACAAAAGTCACAGTAGCTCTTTCCTACATCCACAGATTCTGCATTTACACAGCTGGTTTCTTCAATGGTTAACTGAGGTGGGTCAGTCACTAACTGAAGAGGGATCTCAGAATCAGAAATTCCTTCGATAGATAACTGAGGTGGGTCAGTTCCTAACTGAAGAGGGATCTCAGGATCAGAAATTCCTTCACCATCACAATCACCAGGCACCACATTCACAACCACCACCTCTGGAGAATCAGCTTCCCCATCTGATTGCGACTGGGTCAATATGATTTGAAAAGAGACATGAGAATCATACATTTCAGAATCACTAGGCTCACTGACCTGTCCTTCCACGTCAAAAAGCTCTTTGTTTTGAAAGCTTGTTTCTTTCCAAGCCACCTGAGGTGGATCAACTTCTGACTGCAGATGAATGCCAGAACCACATTTTGTTTCAGAACAACAGGCTTTATAGCTCTCATTTTCTAGGTCATTATGGTCCTCCTCCTGCACATTTATTTCTTTGACAGATGCATGAGAAGGATCGACCACAAACTGGACAGGAACATCAGAATCATAACTTCCCTCAAAACCAACTACATTGCAGCTCTTATCTTCCGGGTAAATATGGCCTTCCTTAGGATTCATTTCTTGGACAGTTTTTTGAAGCTGGCCAGGCATTGACTGACAAGGTTCATTGGAATCAAAACTTGTTGTAGGATGAGGATCGCTGCTCTTCATTTCTAAACTGGCACACTTCTCTTGCAAACTCTGTGGTTGCTGAATGACTGACCGGAAAGGGATATTTGAAATGTAAATTATGTCAGAATTGTCAGATTGATAGCCCTTATCATCAAAACAAACATGTCCCTTCACTGGAAGATTTGCTTCTTTAATAGGCTCCTCATTAGTCACAGATTGAGGGGGTTCATTAGAATAAAAATTCATCTTGGAACCACTAGGTTTGACATTCTTATCTTCCAAACCAAGACGCTTTTTCAAAAGTTTCACCTCTTGAATGACTTTTGTTTGGCCAGTCACTGGCTGACGGACATCAGAATCATGTATAATTTCAAAACCCTCAGCTTCAGCCCTCTTACCTTCAATGTCAACATCTTCATTCTTCCTCGGAGCTGTTTCTTTCGCCATTTCCCTCAGCTGGTCAGCCACTGGCTGGACAGAGGCAGCAGAATCAGAGTTTCCTTCAGAATCACCAGATGGATCACACTTACCTTCTGCCTCTGACTTCGCAGCAGCTATGTTAGGTCGATCAACTATTGCTTGAACCAAGAAATCTGAATCCAAATTTGTTTCAAAATAAATGTTTTTGCTCTTATTTTCCAAGAATATTCTATATTCTTTCCCCTGGCTTATCCACTTAACAGCTACTTCAGGTTGATCAGCTGCAGACTTTAGAACCTCAGAATTATGTATTGCTTTTGAGCAACCAGGCTCATCAATCTTACTTTTCAGGATGATAGTCTTTTTCTTAATCACTTTGTGATGTTGTTCAGCCAATGACTGAAGATGCTCAACAGAATGAAAACTTATTTTAGAGTCACTAAGTTTGCTTCTGTCTTTCAGATTAACAAGTTTTTCATTCCAAAGAATCAGATGAGGTTGGTCAGAGACTGAACAAAGAGAGCCAGTAACATCCAAATGTGCTTCAAAACCTCTACATTGAGTACCTTCACCTTCTGGGTGAACAAGGTCCTCCTGCAAAACAGCTAGTCGAGGTTTTTTACGCACTGACTGAGGAAGGTCATCAGAATTCAAAATTAGTTCAGAATCGCCATATTTATCAGTCTTCTTTTCAATATGTTTCTTCTTTTCTTTTCTTTTAAGAGATACCTGAGGTTCTGTTACTGGGCAGTGAAGAACATTAGACTTTACTTCAGAGGCACTAAAGTCAGCACTTCTGCCTTGAAATCCAGCCTGTTTCTCTTTGTGAAGCCAAATATTTTTAACAACTACTTGAGGTTTGTGAATCACTGACAGAAGAGGGATGTCAGAATCTGGTCGTGTTCCAGATACACTGAATTTGTGATGTTTATTTTCTAACTGTACGTGCTCTTCTTTCTGAAAGTTTCTGTCATTAACGAGATCTTCAGAATGCCCAGTAGTTGAATGAAAAGTATCACAACTCAAATTTAGTTCAGAATCAGTAGGTTTGTTTTCTTTATGTTTTAAGTGTACCTGCTGCTCTTTTTGAGAATTTAGTTTTCTAACGGCTACTTCGGGAGGATTAGTCACTGAATGAAGAGGGGCATAAGAATCCAAACTGATTTCAGAACCACTGGGATTAGCATTCTTCTTTTCTAAGGGTACATATTCTTCTTCCTGAATGATTACTTCTTTAACAGCTACTTCGGCTTGCTCATTTCCTGAATGAAGAGGAATATCAGAATCAAAAGTTATATCAGAAACACAAGATTCATCACTCTCATTTTCCAGATCAACAGGCTCTTCCTCATAAACAGCTACTTGAGGTTGGTCAGCTACTGAGAAAGTAGCAATATCAGAATCAAACGTTATGCCAGAGCTATCTGACTCACAGCTCTCCTCTTCCAGGTTAAAGGGATCTTCTTTTAGTCTTTCAACATCCAGCTGAGACCGCTCAGTAACTGATAGAAGAGGGGAATCAGAATCAAATGTCAACTCAGAACTGGAGCACCCACTGCTCTGAGCTTCCACGTCAACATTTACCTCTGTAAGATTTACTTCACCTAAATCCCCTTCAAGATCATCATTAGCTGACTGATAAAGACAATCATTCGACTCAAAACTTAGATCAGAAATACTAGATTGAACACTCTTATTGTCTAAGTCAGTATCTACTGCCTGAAGGTTTAGTTCTTTAACTGCTACTTGAGATTCATTGGCTACTAATTCAGCATTAGCATGAAAACCCATTTCAGGAGCATGAGACTCACAGTTCATATGCACAAGGCCAGCATCCTTCTTTTTTAGAAGTTTTATTCCTTCAACATCTCCCTGGGGTTGATTCACTGCCTCAAGGGAAACACCACAAGCAAGATGTGCTTTGGCACTACTGGGCTTATATTTCTTATTTTTGAGCTGGACAGGTCTACCTTTCTGGTTTCCTTCCGTAACAGTCATTCGGGGATGGTCATCTGCTGACTGAGGGAAACCTTCACTGTCAGAACTTGATTCGGAATAACCATATTTGCAGCTTTTATCCACCAGGCAAATGCGAGGCCTCCTGTGAAGTTTCTTTTTTGTGACATTCACTGGGGGCTCCTCAACTACCAATTCAATTGAGGCAACAGAAGCAGCCCTTCCTTTGGAGCTGTCAGATCCATAGCTCCTATCAACTAAATCAATGGGAACCCCAGCAGGAAAGACTACATCTATGTCAGCCTGTTGGGGGTCGTTGTCAGTTGGCTCAGCTGAGTTATCACAATCAAAATTCATTTCCGAACCACTGGAATCATAGCTTTCATCAACCAGGCTAATGCATGTTACTTTTTGAGGGTTTTTTTCTTTATTAATCACTTGAGGTTGGTTGTCAACCACCTGAAGAGAATCGTCACACTTCTCTGAGCTTATTTCATTACTCTTGTACTGTAAAGGGGCATGTATTTCCCCTGAAAGGTTTATTTTTCTGGCAGTCACTTCAGATAGATCAGTTGGTGAATGAGAAAAGGAATCATATTTGAAACTCATTTCAGAACCTCGAGATCCACAGTTCTCATCTTCGTGATCACCTTGTTCCTCTTTCCAAAGGTGTAGCTCTTGTACAGCCTTTCGGGCTGGGACAGACACTGACTGAAGAGAGCCTCGATCCAACTTCACTGTAGCACTCACTGAACACTTCTGTTTCAAAACCCCTGGCTTGTTACAAACCAAATGCTTTTCTTCCTGGGTACAATCTTCACGTGACAGGAATTCCCCATGGTGCTTTGGAATGGCACCTACCGAGATCCACTGGGCAGATGACACATCAGGTTTATTCAGCTTTACTACTGAGTTTACTGCTATGCTGGAAGAAGATTCTACTCCTACAGAACTCTTAGTATCCTTCGGTTCATGGAATTTATAGATAGGTGACAAAGTTTCACCCTGACATTCTGCATCTTTCTGGTAAAGCAATTTATCTAAATTCACACATACAGATTTTCCATTTGATTCTTTAGGATTCTCATAAGAACCTGAAGAAGTTTCCAGATGGCATGATGGCATATGATTTCTAGGGGCCTCATCTAGCTCCTTAACATATCTGTCATCTTTGCTTGGGTTAAATTTGCTAACTAACGCTGAAGAGGCTGCTAGTGGTGCCCTACTAGTACTCACGACAACTGGCCTAGCATGAGAACTTTCAGGCAAACATCTAGCATTACAAATCACAGGAAGACGGATTACACTTTTGCCACTATTTGTAGCTTGACCAACACCTACTGGATTAATTTTTCTTACACAACTCTCAATTTTATTAAACTCCAAAGACTGCTGCTGTCCCTTCTCTAGTTTTTGAATAACTGATGGTCGAACTGAAACCTCTTTCGTGGAGTTCTGAGAGACGCCAGGGAGAGCACTCAGCTCTTCAACAGACTCGGAACGCTTGGAGTTTATTTCTTCAGCTTCAGTATTGTCTGGGAAAATCTCATCCAAACGAATCACCTCAGGTGCTGTGGTATTTGTAGGCATCTCACACGGTGCTAATCTGCAAAGAAAGAAGAAAACCCCATAAAGATATTCTAATATCTGTTTAAGATGCGTAATAAGTGTTATTTTCTTTCTGTTCTAAGCTATCCTTATAGGACACTCACAGCAGACTGTATACTCTGTGTCTTCCAGGAAGGTAATCACTGCAGTACAGGGAGGTGGCTCTAACCAATTGCTGCTTTTTTTTTTTTGGTACCAGCGATTGAACTCGGGACCTTGCACTTGTGAGGCAGGCACCGGAACCACTGAGCTAAATCCCTGGCCCACCAATTGCTTCTTTTTTTTTTTTTCAATTGCTTCTTAATAAACCCAAATGGCTACTAAACATGAGAAAACGCAAATGAAATCATAAAACGTTTTTCAGTTATCAGAATAGTAAATAGCAAAATGTTTGACACAAGTTACTTGACTTTGTATGTCCCAGTTTCCACTTCAGAGAAAAGGGAGTAAATTGGTAAATATATCAAAAACATTAAAAAGAAGAAAGGGGCCGGGGATTTAGCTCAGTGGTTCCGCCGCCTGCCTCACAAGCAGAAGGTCCCGAGTTCGATCCCTGGTACCAAAAAAGAAGAAGAAGAAGAAGAAGAAGAAGAAGAAGAAGAAGAAGAAGAAAGAAGCCTAGCACATAATAAGCATTCACAATGTCAGATATTTTTTCCCTCCAGTACCAGGAATCGAATTCAGGACCTTGAATTGCAAGGTAGGTGCTGCACCACTGAGTTAAATCCCCGGCCCTTGGCTATGTTTATTTTAATATATGTTTCATCAATAGTATAAAGACATAGGCACTTTAATACACTGCTAGTAGGAGTACAGATTCACTTCAGATTATTAGGTAATTTTTACACAGACTGGTAGCCTCTATGAAGAACAATTTGGCAATGTCAATTAAGTAAATGAACACACTCTCTGACCTAGTAATTCCACTTTTGGTTTACTTTATGTGTGTGATGAAGAATGTACAAGAATATAACTATTTTGTTTTTATTTTTGGTAACAGCAAATGACAGGAATCCACCTTAATATTCATCAGTTGTGTACTGGTTCAATAATTAATGGTATTTAATGGGATACACTGCAGGTTTAAAAATTATGAGGCAGCTCTGCAAGTAATAAAGATCAATCACTATAAACATTCTTAGTGAAAAGCAAATATATACAGAATACTAAATAACTCAAATACTAATACTAAAATAGAATGGAAAAAAACTATACACTTAGAATATCTATAGAAAGTTATCTAATCATTTGTAATTTAACAGCAAAAAATTCCCTAAATATCCAATCATTAAAACTACTTTTATATAATTCTTGAGCTAAAAAGGAATTTATAAAAACTATAAAAAAAAATAATAATATGCAAAAATCTATAAGTATTGCCAAATGGAAACTTCATTTTTTAGGGGGGTGGGGGGAGACAGGGTCTCGCTATGTAGTCCAAGCTGAACTCAAACTCACTATGTAGCCCAGTCTGGTCTGGAACTCCTAGAGAACCTCCTGCTTCAGCCTCCCAAGTGCTGGGATTACAGTTAGGCACCACTACACCTGGTGGAAACTTCAGACTTTTAAATATTTCCATTAAGAAAAAGAATGTGTAAATAGGAATTAACCGAGCATCCAATTTAAGATGAAAAAACAACCAAACTGTTCCAATAAAAAGGCACATTAAGAAAAAAGAAAAACTAGTGAATAAACAAAAACATAGCAAGAGCTGATTTTCAGAATTTTCTAAAATAAAAGAAAAACCTACAATTCCTAGTAAAGGAAGGAAGAGAGAATTCTTTAAAAATCATACATCCTACAATTTAGAATTTGTAAACAAGGGAGGATTAGAATGTACTTTTTTTTTGGTACCAGGGATTGAACTCGGGTCCTTGCGCTTGCGCAGCAGGTGGCAAAACCACTGAACTAAATCCCCGGCACAATTAGCATGTACTTTTAAAAATCAAAGGAACACCCATCAACTGGAGACTGGATAAAGAAAATGTAGTTTTTTAATAAAATGGAGTACTACTCAGCCATAAAGAATGAGAAATTAAAGACATTTATAGCTAAATGGATGCGCACTGAGGACATACTCTTAAGTGAAATAAATAGGACACACATGTAAATATCATATAGTTTCTCTGGAATGAGAAACTGGAAATGTAAATAAGGATTAAAATGAATAATTGATAAGGTGAAATAAGAAGAAAAGGTCCAAAGGGGTAGGGGAAGTGGGAGAGGTAGGGGAAAAGAATGATGGGAAAGGAAAAAATATGAGGAAAAAAAATGGAAGCAAAGCCTCTGTAAATAGGGAGGGGTGGAGGGGTTGAAGAGAGGGCAGGGGAATAGGGAAAAAATAAGCGAACTACATCATGTAAAGGTACAACTTCCCAATGATGAATGTAAATGTATACCTAAAATGTACCAATAAAAGAATTTAAGAGGAAAAAAATA